TTGAACATTTCAAGAAATTCAATGCAATAAATTTTACATGGCCATTTAAAAAGTGTGGGGGGGGGAGTAGCTATGCACTGAATACCACACAATTTCCCAAACTCTAATGGACTGCTAACGTCAAACAGTGTAAAGAAAATCTGAAGATTCACTTCTATAATTTTAAAAGCTGCCTTCATATCATAACAGATTCATATCTTCTATTAGTTCAAAAGCTGCCTTCGTATCATAAACATTGGTTCATTTCTATAAAATTAGAAAGAATAAATAAAATAAAGTCAATTATTTGAGTACTTTTACAATTATCTTATTACCTACAAAAGTGGTTCATGCATACAAATGATTGCTACATTTTCTTGGTAAACTCAGCCAGACTGAATTAGCCCTTGAATTCAAGAAACAAGAAATATGAAAAATTGCATCACTCTGCTTCATAACAATGCAAGTTCATACACTGCATTTCAAACTATAAGTAATTTGAAGTACATAAAAAATTCATTTGATGTGTTTATTTGTCTCACTTAACTCCCACATGAGTTTTGCTTAGCCCTGAAATTCAAACAGAAACTGCGTGGTCAATTACTTAATAGTCTCGACTTTACCTTTACACAATTTCTTAACTTTTCGCAACGGCACACCTTTGTTTAAGACGCTTGTGCGGGACAGAAGGGAATCGAAGGCAGTCACCGTACAGGACGGAGGTTTTGCATCGCTAAGCCTAATTTTATAAAAAAAGATCAGAAAAAAAAAGTTTTGCTTCTAGCATCTTATTTTTTATATTCTTTTAGATTATTACTTGAGCTCTTATATATGTTAAAATTAGCACTTAATAACATTTTTTTTCTTTATTTTACATGAAAATATACTTAAAAAATTGCTTGTTTTGTAAAATAATTTTCGGAAGCGGTATTCAAATTATTCCAAAGTTTTAATTGATAAAATCCATCAATAAAGTTTAAAATTAATAAAACAACACAATAAAGACTATTTACAGTAAGAAGTAACAAAATTTAAAATGAAGACTGAGCATTTTAAATCTCGAGGCACGGAGAAGTATCACTTTCTAACTCTTAGAAAAAGTATCACTTTCTAACTCTTTAGAAAATGAATCATCACTCTCATCTGCGTTAATAAATCGTTCATTGACCATACGAGGGTATTCTTTCTCTGATAAATAGCGTCTTTCCTCTATAATAGACCGGAGGTGAGGCTTTCCGAAATAAAAAGAGCAGAAACGAAATATATCTGAACGGCAATGCAAAACGTAACAGCACTCCACATACTAACCCTAAAACATTGTACATAGTAAAGAAAAAATAGAATAAAAAAAGGAACTGGATATAAATCAGACACGCGAATGTTTTCAATAGCACGCAGCGATTTAAAGAGCTCACCTATGTTTACGTTTTCTCTCCCCCCCCCACCCTCGCAAGAGCTGATGAGTAAAATATAAAATCAAGCAGAATATATCACGCTCAAGGTCAGGTCAAGGTTAAAACTGTGTTCATTTCAAAAGAAATGGACATAGAATGCCATCTAGTGGCCTTCAGAAAAACGTTCCAGCTTAAAATGCGCATACGCATCACCTGTCCTCTGAATGCAATCTCTAGCGATGCATGGATGGGACTCCCGGCTGTAAGAGACGTTCTTAGGGAATGCCGATATTTGACGCCCGTCCTGAAAGGGTTAATGGCACAGCTGTCATAAAAATTGATTTATTCCAATTTGATAATAATAATGTATATTATTTTTCTCACATTTTTAACTTTTTAAAAATTCTCAGATTAGCTTAATCTACAAGACAGAGATGTTAACATAATAAAAACCAAACATAAAATCAATGGATTTATAATTAATTCTGATCAACATCATTTATTTAAATGAATAAACTTAGTTACCACAGTAACTCCTGGTCAATCTAATGCACAGCATAGAAAATTGCTGTAATGTTTGTATTTTGGTCAAAAGTGACCATACATCTTCTTATTCTTATTATCATTATTTCCTGTTCATCTCTGAAATGTTGTAATACCAATATTTTTTTACTGCACTTGTATCATTTCCTATGCACTTACTTAATTTTTTTTCCTGAAGATATGTCAGGTATAACAAAATAAAGCTCTACTGCAAGTTTCATATCATCAGTTGCAAAATAATTAAAATTACATGAATTTTTATAACTATTCTTTTTTATTTTCCTACTAGGGTAGTTCCATATACCTTAAAGAATATTTATACACTCTTAGACAAAAAAAAAAAAAAAAAAAAAAGACGCACCACAACGCACCGAGAAGATATAAAGCAAATTAGACACAAATTGATATGCATACAAGTTTTGACGGAAAATGCAAAATTTTACATTTTGGCTGCCAATGAATGAATGGTCTACAGCACAAATGATCTGAGCAACTGGCAGGATATTTAAGAGGAGAAATTACGATTCCAGGTCATAAATTCTTCATGAATTTCATTTCGTGTACTCTGGTAGACAGTAACTATGCTTCGCATACAGGTGGACAAACAAAATGCGCAGATGTCAGAATTTGAGAGAGGTCGTGTAGCTGGGCTCAAAGAAGCCAGTTGGTCTTATCGGCAAATAGCTCGACATTTGAGCAGGAGCGAGGCCACTATTAGACGATGTTGGCAGGAATGGGTGAACCATGGTCGCACACAGCGTCAAGAAGGAAGCGGTAGGCGTAGACAAACAACAGAATGTGAAGATCGAGCAAATGTCACAGCGGCACTCACAGCCCCAGATGCATCATTATCATCAATTATATGTGCAACTAGTGCTTCAGTGACCGCAAGGACCATTCATAGATGGCTCAAAGAAAGGGGACTGAGGACACAGCGCCCCTTGCGCCGACTACCACTGAACTCTTAGTGTCGGGCTCATTCGCACTGGAATGTCACTGACTGGAGTAGAATAGTATTCAGTGATGAGTCCCTCTTTGAACTGAGCCCCAATGACCAGCGAAGGCAAATCTGGAGATGCCACGGACAGTAGTGCGATACCAACGCGACTGTCTTCCGGCAGACAGGCCGACAACCAGGAGTGATGGTCTGGGGTGCCATTTCATTTCATAGTAGGACCCTAGTAGGACTCCTTTGGTTGTCATCCGTTGCAACCAACAGCAGTATGTCGACTAAGTTCTGAGGCCCGTTGTGTTGCCCTTCATGTTACACATCCCTGGGCTTACATTTCAGCAAGATAATGCCCGCGCCCCCCACAGTGCACATGTTTCTACTGCTTGCCAAACATTAGTTTGGCCAGCAAGGTTGCTGGATCTCTCTCCTATTGAGCACGTTTGGAGCATTATGGGCAGGGCCCTCCAACCAGCTTGGGACGCTGACTATCTAAAGCGCCAGTTGGACAGAATTTGACACAATATCCCTCAGGAGGACATCTGCAACCTCTATCAATTGATGCCAAGTCGAATAACTGCTTGCATAGGGTCAGAGGTGGACAAATGCATTATTGACTTTTTCACTTTGTGAAGCTCTATCACTTCAATAAATCATCCAATTTTTCTCAAACTGTAATCATTTGTTTTCTGTACATGTACATCACTTCTACCGATTTTCGTCCCATTCTGATAACTCCTTCTTGGTGCGTCATTTCTTTTGTCTAAAAGTGTATAATCATAAGTAAAAAGTTCTTCCGTTTTTTAAAATATATTCATTAAAACATCACTACTGAAATCTCAAATGAATAAACTTTTATAGTTTAAAATGACAGACAAATTATGTCTATAATTTGCAACACAGGTTTTAAAAAGATATTAGAACAAATGTACATTAAACAATGTAAAACATCTATAACACTACAAAGTACTTACATCATTTTGACATAAAATTTTTCTGGTTATTTAGACTAATTTATTTCCTTCCTTTTATTTACTTTTCAAGTTCATTTACTCCAATAAACAAATCAATATTCTTACTAGTTTCTGAAGCAAATTCTAAAGTATCTGCTAATTTTTTTAATATTTTCATCAATTTCTTTCTTTCTTTCTTTTTTTTTTTTTTTTAAATCTTTTTGCTTTATGAAATGAATTACTGAAAAAGAATTTTGACATTTAATTAAAAATCTTGCTCTAAAAATCTGCACATATCAAGAATATACAGAAGTAGTTGCTAATCTTTCTTTTTTAGTAATTTCAGTGTTGAGAATAACTCAAAAAAACATTACGAAATTATACACTATGCATTAAGATATATATCTTTGAATTTTTTTACATGTTTATTAAAATAGAAACTTCTTTCTACAGATGCTAGGCCATACGACAAGCATATAATTATTTTTGCAATTTTTATATTGTAGAATAGAAAAAAGATCATAAAAGCAAAAGCAGAAGCCGTTCACACATGTTTTAGATGACTTTACTTTGCTATATAAAAAAATTGCCTGCTTGGAAAAAAAAAAAAAAAAATTTTCTGCAACTATTTTTTTGAATATGTAAATTATTGTCTGCTAATCAACAATTTTGTTTAGAAGCAAAATGGCACTTTTAAAGAAGCAACGGACAGAAGGCTATGCTTGTGCTCTTTCTGAAGAAAATTATTTGGATTTTTCTGTAGCTAAAGCCACAATAGATAATATTGGGTTATATAAAAAGGCTCTGCGTTTGATAACACTTATTTTGAAAGAATGTGAGAAAAAGCAATCAGGAATTTTCAACTTTCATTCCAGAGTATCCAACTGTTTTTCATAGTTTACATCAACTTGCAATGTTTTCACTGCATGAGACATGGAATGAATTCCATATTCATCCAAAATGTTAATTCAGACACCAAATGACAGTCACAGGAAAGAGAAATGCCAAATGAGAAAGATTGTTTGCAAATTTTCAATGAAATTTCAAGTAGTTTTATGGATTAAAAATCATTTTCAAAAACCCTAAGGACTCTTTAAGGACCATACAAACACTGATTCATTCTAATTCATATGACCTAACATTTATAATTATCAAAAAATTTTTTTTTATTAGAATACGTACAATCACTGTCCCGAGACAAACTTCTCTTAGTACTCTCAGAAGCATACAGACCAGGAAAATCCTTTTCCACATCAGGACTTTCAAAATCCATTTTAAGAGAACTACAGCAAGAAAAAAATTTTTTCTTAAATGATATAATTTTTATATAACAAAACGAGTTACAGTAATTACACATCACAGTCAAAATTAAAAATACTTTATTCATACATACCAGCTATATTTATCACTCAACATGATATTGATTCTAACGCACTATAAACGAAATGACCTCGAATAAAAATATTAAATGAGAAAAAGAAAACAGTTTTCCAAAATATAAAATGATTTACATTCACATTACATGCAACCGCAAAAGGATTACATATATACTTTACTATATTAAAAAAATTGGTACCTTCTGATTATTCCCCCAAAAGTTTCAAAAAGTATTTGTAAAGCAAAACAGTATGTTACCAAAATAATCATATGGGAATCCAGGTATGTGCATAGCACATGTTTAATTGGCTGATGTACAACACTGAAATTATTGGATGTCAGAGATGTTTTTTAATGATGGCAATAAATTAAAAAGGTATTAAAGGCAAGAGTCAGCAATGGGTCTGCAAATGCTCTTCAAAGCCATTAATGAGTTTACAACTTTTTGTTAGAGAGAGGATCATAAGAAAGTACCAAAACGGTAATATAAACTTTTGTTAATCTGTAAGCTCGTTAGTGGAATATCTGCAGACCCCATTCCAACAAAAGGTTAAATTCAGAGAAATTTCATCATGCAGCTCCCTTCTTTCTAGTAACTCAGCTTCAGACCTGTTTCTCTTTCTTCAAAACTATTTTTAACTCTTAAGAAATTAACATCAGCACTGAACATCACCATTCTAAGGGAACTAACTACTTCTACAGAAAATTAAAAGCATATGAACCATGAATGGTTGTTTTGGAGAGTTCGTAACAAATTCTGGTAAGTTTCAATTAAATGCCAAAAGTTGCCACTACACAAAGCCAAAATAACAAGACAAAGAATTGCACAAACACGGTATCCATGTACACATCGACCTATTTTTCACTTAAAAAAACATCCCAGAATTCCACAAAAATGGCATTGCACACTCTGTTGACTTTGTCCATGTACACATCAAACTATATTCACTCAAAAAGTCAAAGGAGCAGCCAACAAAAAATACATAATCCGAATAAACTACATTTTAAATCAAACAATGAAATAACATAAAAAAGGAAATTCATCTTAGCACTACACGAAGGAAATATCCACTTACCTTATTTACGAGTCTTCAGTCAAACAAAATTCCTTAACAGCATCCAAACGCTTCCTCAAATTATCTGAACTAGAATATGTATACTGGTGTCACCACATAAATTCACAAAAATAAGAGCAAAAAATATCCTCCGTTCGAAAATATCTGATGTTCGACGATAAGCATTTCCGGTTGATCTTTGGATTATGGTAACTTGGCGATTTTTTGGCGACCAACTCTGCTACAGCAACCCTCTATTTTTTTTTCCGCCGCCATTTTGTCTTCACGAAATAAAGACATGTTTCTTTTCTTTTTATTTACTCAACACTTTTTCCAACAATCTACTAGCCGAATTACACTTATGCTAGAAATTTTATCTAACAAAACTGCTTAATCATGACAAATATTCACTGCAAAATTGGGAAAAAGTGCACAATAGCAAACTCCTTGCGCATTTTTCAGAATAACACATACACATAAGCCATGTACACGTCGACTTATTTTTACTTAAAAAAACATCGCAGAATTGCACAAAAATGGCATTGCGCACACTCTTCACTATATCCATGTACACTGCTTTTTTCTCATAAATTAGAAAAATTTCACAAAAATGCATGACAATTTTCTGAATCTTTAAACTCGGTAAAAAGAACACACATGAAATTACCTGATCGCGAAAAAGTACATACCCTTTCCAAATATGAACATTTCCATATATAAAATAAATAAAATATCCAAAAACTTTTACCTCTAAATTATCTATTATATTATAAACGTCATCAACGAATTCATGCCGCAAACATTACAAATACATAGTGTCAAATATTTAAATTATTTCCATGCACGTTTACTTCAACTTAAACGTATACCAAATTCCTACAAACTAAAATTCACAAAATAACTATTATTTAATTAAAATATCACTAAACCATGTACACGTCGACTTATTTTTACTTAAAAAAACATCCCAGAATTTCACTAAAATGGCATTGTGCACACTCTTCACACTATATCCATGTACACTGCTTTTTTCTCATAAATTAGAAAAATTTCACGAAAATGCATGACAATTTTCTGAATCTTTAAATCCGGTAAAAAGAACATATATGAAATTACCTGATCGTGAAAAACTATATACCCTTTCCAAATATGAACATTTCCACGTATAAAATAAATAAAATATCCAAAAACTTTTACCTCTAAATTATCTATTATATTATAAACGTCACCAACGAATTCATACCACAAACATTACAAGTACTTAGTGTCAAATATTTAAATTATTTCCATGCACGTTTACTTCAACTTAAACGTATACCAAATTCCTACGAACATAAAATTCACAAAATAACTATCATTTAATTAAAATATCACTAAACCATGTACACGTCGACTTATTTTTACTTAAAAAAACATCCCAGAATTGCAAAAAAAATGGCATTGCGCACACTCTTCACTATACCCATGTACACTGCTTTTTTGGTACAACTCTAATATACGCCCTAATTTCACCAAATGTGGCGATATGTGTTCTGCGCTGGTTTTTGGCGCAATTGCGTGTTCTATGGCAACCCTGTTGACGTTGAAAAATCTTTCGCTGGAGCTTGTTGGTTCGCCTCTGTGTCTGAGAAGATGGGAAAGAAAGATAAAATGGTAGTTGTTGAATTGAAGTTCGGCAAAAGGAAATATGATTGTGGCTATCCTGTTGAGGGGTAGTGGGTATTTGGAAGTGTGGAAAGAGGGTCTGGGAGATTATTTTTAAATGGCAGTGCATGATAGAAGTAGGGATTTGTAATTTTATTTATTTGTGAACCATAGTATAAATTTTCTGGATAGTGTGTCTGGCTGTCTTGTAAATACGATAGTGATTACGTGGCGGCATGTTAAAGGTGGTATGAAATTTATATTTCTGCTATTCGAAAACGCATATATTCATGGTAAGTGCATTTAATTTATCCTTGTTCTTATTTTGTAGAATGTTATGTTCATTGGTTCTTTAGCATGAATTTCTGTCGTTATTGTTGTTTTTTTTAAATTGTTTGACATTTATTTTACTTTATTTTGTTGTTTAGTGTCTAGACTGTACAATTCGTAGATGTTTTTTAAAGTTGAAACAGAACGCTGTGTACATGGTTTTATTTGAAATTTAATGTTATGTTATTTTATTAAAGCGAGGAGTGCGTAGATTGTAGATTCCTTCCTTGCCTAAATTGTGCAATTCGTAGAATTCTTTTTTAAGTTTAAACAGGATGCTGTGTACATGGTATTCTTTGAAATTTATTGTTGTTATGTTAATTTATTAAAGCGAGGTGTGCGTAGTTTGTAGATTCGTTCATTGCCTACATTGTGCAATTCATAGATGTTTTTTTAAGTTAAAACATGTCGTTGTGTACATGGATTCTTGTTAAATATTTTTGGTTAGAAACTTTACGTTTTTGCTATCTAAATTTTCTGTTTTTGTTTCGGATTTTTAGCTAAATTGTGTGTTCAAAACGTAGTTTTTGCATGTGCGAAAACCGCATTTTTGGAGACATTTTAGGCTAAAAGTTCAAAATGTAAACAAAAAATTTAGATAGTAATATGGCAGCGTGAAGTTTCTCCCCAAAAATATTTGGCGAGAAACTTGGCGACTTGAGGGCGCATATCAGAGTAGTTCCGCTTTTTTTTCATAAATTAGAAAAATTTCATGAAAATGCATGACAATTTTCTGAATCTTTAAACCCGGTAAAAAGAACACATATGAAATTACCTGATCGCGAAAAAGTATATACCCTTTCCAAATATGAACATTTCCACGTATAAAATAAATAAAATATCCAAAAACTGTTACCTCTACATTATCTATTATATTGTAAACGTCACCAACGAATTCATACCGCAAACATTACAAATACTTAGTGTCAAATATTTAAATTATTTCCATGCACGTTTATTTCAACTTAAACGTATACCAAATTCCTACAAACATAAAATTCACAAAATAACTATCATTTAATTAAAATATCACTAAACCATGTACACGTCGACTTATTTTTACTTAAAAAAACATCCCAGAATTGCACAAAAAATGGCATTGCGCACACTCTTCACTATATCCATGAACACTGCTTTTTTCTCATAAATTAGAAAAATTTCACGGAAATGCATGACAATTTTCTGAATCTTTAAACCCGGTAAAAAGAAGACATATGAAATTACCTGATTGTGAAAAAGTATATACCCTTTCCAAATATGAACATTTCCACGTATAAAATAAATAAAATATCCAAAAACTTTTACCTCTAAATTATCTATTATATTACAAACGTCACCAACTAATTCATACCGCAAACATTACAAATGGTTTGGTCAGTACAAATACTTAGTGTCAAATATTTAAATTATTTCCATGCACGTTTACTTCCACTCTAAAGTATACCAAATTCTACAAACATATAATTCACAAAATAACTATCATTTAATTAAAATATAATTAAATTCAAAAACACTACTTAAAATATAAATAAGCACATACATTAAATTAATAAAAATTAGCTTACAATCCTAATTACTTTAAACTAAATCATTGCTAATAACAATTTTCGAATAATACCAAATTACTTTACTTCCACCTTACATTTAGAACAATGCATAAAAATAATATCCTCAAATAATTAAAAATACTAACTTACCTAATCTTCTTCAGAATCTTGCTTACATGGTGGATACACTTTTATTATTGAACGATTTTTTCTGCGAATTTTTCCTCCACACTTCCTCCGCTAAATAAAAAGCAAAATTCTCTTTATCACAATGCCTCGGAATTGCGCACATATGAAATTACCTGATCGCGAAAAAGTATATAACTTTTA